GAGTGTCCTCGGAGCAGATCCTCGAAACAAAGGTCGACTGGGTAAAGCTAATAATCTAAGCATCAGCGGAGGGGAAAGTTGGAAAGTTGATTGTTTAAACATAGACAAAAATGTTGAGACGGACATTCCTAAATTGCAACAGTACATATTTTATTAATTGTAAAAATACAGAACAAATATTAGTAGTGGGGAAACTGAGAAATAGTAGATAGAGAAAAGAAAAAAGAGGAGAATAAGACGAAGAAGAAATCTTTGAATGTTTCAGTCCATCAAATCATATACATTCCTTTTCAGCATCACAACTGGACTTTCAGGATTTGTACTTCGCCGTGCTTCAGCATAACCTAATGTGTTGTCACTCCAAGATACCGGAGGTCAAAATTTTGAGAAAATTTTCAAAAAAATTAAGGAAATCCTACTTTTTTATCATCTGGAACTGGTGCTGCTTGTTTCCTGTGTGGAGATTGCTGTGGTGGACTGCATGACGAAGTCACCGATGATGAGGAACAGCAAGATGGGGAGCTGGGAACAGGCTGCTGATGCGTTTCTCGATTAGGTCTTTTCAGCGGCGGTGGCCCAACGCTTGGCCTCGGAATGGTGGCAGTGGTAACTGTACCAGTGCTTGGCAAAAGAGGCGAGACAACCGTTGCAAGCGAATAGTTCGGGATTGTGGAACGGAGCTGCTGTGAGAATGTGAAAAGTGTGGTTGGATCGGAGAAGGAGAATGGCGTAAGTGGGGGGAATGGTGTTGGAATCGTTGCTGTTGCTGGTCTTGCAAGTAGCGAAAGCGCCGCGCTTATATCCACTGGTGGTAACATAGGCTTTTCCGTACTGAAAATAGAGCTCTTTACTTTTTCAGTGTTTAAATATGGCCATCCCAATTACCGCCCTGGATAAAGCAAGTAAGGTTCTCGGACAACGCAGATGAAGCAGAAATTTTGCATAGAGTGCTATACTTTACTTTGAAACTTTGGTCAATCACATACAGCAATTAACAACTTTTCCAGTAGCTCTGACCAATGCTGCATCGCCTAGTGAACAATTTGCTGGAGATTCTGACGTATGTGATAAAAAAAACTGGAAGAAGCTGGTTCGACGATTGTATAAACCGATAAAGTTGAATTAAAATTTAAAAAAATGTGAAATTTGTGACCAATTAAAATTAGATTAAGAAGTTCAAAAGTAAAATAAGGGATAGCGAAAGGTAATGGCGGATTTTAAAAAAGTTAAAATTGAGTTTTTTCACTTACTTTATCTCTGCTAGTTGAACACTCAAGCAATTTTAAACGAACATTAAAAATGCTCTCAGCAAGATAACAGTATGCATTTGCTTATCTGGAATTAAGGGGAAGCGCTGAACTCCGGAGTCGATGGTAAGAAGAAACGCGACAATGAAACATCTAAGTAAGAAAAGCTGTTTGTCCTTTCTAAATCGGCCAAAATCCGTCTTTTTCCCCGGAAAATTGCTAGAATAGTAAAGATTAATTTGAAGAATTGACGAACCTGGAAACCAGCGGTGCGCTTAGTGCATTTCGAAGGTGCACAGCGGTGGTGCTATCCATAACTTGCTGGCGCCGTGCTGCAACAATTGCGTGTACTGTTTGCCCAACCGATGTGCCCGTTTCTCAAAAAGGTCGAAAGGTCGTGGAGGTGAAGCTTGGTCGGTGCGCACAAGGAGAAAGTGCAGAAATGCACAATAAAATTACGACACTGTGGTCAGTTCTGGAACAGAGGAGGAGGAAACGGAGTGGATGG